GCAAAAGGCGGACGCGAACTCGGGTCGCTCGCATCAAAAACACTACGCAACCCGCGTTACCACTTACACTACTGGAAATGTTATTGAGCAGTCGTCTTTTGTAATGTTGTCACGTTAGTGAGCGGAGATGAAGTAAAGAAGTAAAGACACTTTGTGTAAATAGACACTGTTAATTAAACACTACAGAAAATGGCATATACTCCAGTAAATTTTTTCTGGGGGAGGACCCACCCACATTTATTTTGCTTCCAACGCCCATGATTTTAAGTAATCATTCAATAAAGAGATCGATGAACGAGCGAGTCAGTCAGCCAGTAAAACAGAAAATGACCCTTAATTTTTAAATTCTGCGAGCGCGCGGCTCTCTGTGGAAGACAGGTGAAAGCGCGTGCTGGAGAAGTGCGTGCAGATCAGAGGTGCGCAGTAAATGAAGATGAAACAAACCCACGAATTTATGATTTCTGTTATCAGTCTACGCTTAACCCTGGCTTAATATTATAATTTAAATCGCGTTTTGATTGATCTAATTTCTGTATTTTATTATGCTGCATTAAACAAATTTCAGGGCTCTGTATAGGTCATTCCACATTAACATCTGCAACGTTTTTATTGGAAAGATAGTTTTACAGGGTTATAAAAATAACCTGGGAATAACCATAAGGGAACGTTTAGGTTTGTAGGTTATTTAAAAATAACCACCCTACAACTTTCTGGGAACATTATTTTATGGTTGCAAAAAAACAACCTAAAAATAACCATTAGGGGAACATTCTGTATAAAATTTTCTAGGCATTCTCGAACTTTTGGCAGAGTATGATCCATTTTTAGCTGAACATATCCGAAAGTTTGGGTGGAAGGGAAAGGGCACTGTGTCCTATTTATTATCAACGACGTGTGAAGAGTTTATTCAGCTAATGGGGGAGAAAATCAAGCAAACCATAGCTAAGGAAATTCAAAACGCGAAATACTTTTCTGTAATTGTGGACTCAACCCTAGACTTCTCTCATGTTGATCAACTGACTTTTATTTTTCGTTTTGTTGATCCTGATTGGCATGTGGTGGAGCGTTTTTTGGCATTCGAACCAATAGAAAGTCACACCGGGGAGAGCTTGGCTGACTGCATTTTGGCCATGGTTGACAGTCTTGGGCTTGACCTATCCAATTGTAGGGGGCAGTCATACGACAACGCAAGTAACATGTCGGGGAAGTATAAAGGGGTCCAGGCACACCTTAAACGGAGAAATCCCGTAATCCATTTTGTACATTCATTAAATTTGGTTGGCACCAACGCTGTTGATAGTTGCAAAGTAGCTGGTAGTTTTTTTGATTTAGTTCAGTCAATTTAATCTTTTTGCGCATCATCCACACACCGCTGGGGAAATGTCTTTCGTGATACTAACATCAAGATGACATTAAAATCACTGTCGGATACTCGGTGGAGTGCGCGAGCAGAGTCCTGTAAGGCACTTTGGAAACACTATGCACAAGTCAGAGAGGCATTGGGTAAAATATCCAATGACATGCAGGAGAAACGAGAAACTCGCAGCGAAGCTTCTGCGCTGTGCAACAAGCTGGACACTATAGAGATGGCCTTCATGGCGCATTTTTGGAACATGGTACTAGACAGGTTCCAGGCCACAAGCCAGCAATTACAGAGGCACGACATAGACATATTTACAGCAACTCATCTTATTTCATCTCTGCAAGACTTTGTGGCAGCGCAGCGAGATGGCTTTGAAGCATTTGAAAGAGCAGCCATGAATGTGTCCGGCGTTTCTCTGTGTTACAAGCGTGACATCCAGCGCGCAAAAAAGCGCAAAACGATGGCAGACGAGAGTGCAGAACCAGATGTGCTGCATGATGGTAGGGATCAGTTTCGAGTAGAGACATTCAATGTCATCATTGACAAACTTACATCCTGTCTTCAACATCGTTCGGAAGCTTACAAACACCTGACTGAGCTATTTGGTGTTCTTTTCATGCCCGAAAACGTTGACATTACGGCAAGTGCCGACGCGCTCTCAGCCTCGTACCCGCTGGATTTGGATAAGAGCCTGGCAGACGAACTGACCCATTTCAGATCATTTATGCAAGATGAACAAAAAATTCCCCTCAACATGCTCCAAACAATGATTAGTCTGAATTTATAATCAACTTTTCCAAACGTGTACATTGTGTTAAGACTTTTTGTAACACTGCCAGTTACGAATTGCGAGGGAGAGCGCTCATTTTCTAAAATGTCTCGAGTTAAAAATGAACTGAGAACGAGAATGTGCCAAGAACGTCTCCAATCTCTGTCGCTCATGGCCATTGAGTCTGAACTCTTAAAAGAGCTCAGTTTCGATGACGTGGTGGATGACTTCGCGAGGAGGAAGACAAGAAAGAAATTCCTGTAAAAAATTGTTTCAGTAACCATGCTGGATTGTATAATTGTCAGGGCCTGCAAAAAAGTGTATTAGTCCTATATTGATTCTGTAAATCCTGTACAATGTATGCATATGCTTTTTTTTTCAAAAACGGTTTGAATATTCATAATCGTAACTTCCACTTACTATTACTGTGAATGCGCAGCTAAGGGAAAGAATGGGAAAAAATGGTATGGTATGGTGGGGTGGGGGGCCTTTGCAAGTCATAATCCGTCATACACCTAACCCTACCTGATACTTTATTTAAACTTTTCTGTTATTTCCTTGATTTTTATCTTCATTGAAAACAAAAGCCTTTCCGATGTGATATGAGATATAAAAAGGGAGAAGAACGTTTACGGCAAAAGGCGGACGCGAACTCGGGTCGCTCGCATCAAAAACACTACGCAACCCGCGTTACCACTTACACTACTGGAAATGTTATTGAGCAGTCGTCTTTTGTAATGTTGTCACGTTAGTGAGCGGAGATGAAGTAAAGAAGTAAAGACACTTTGTGTAAATAGACACTGTTAATTAAACACTACAGAAAATGGCATATACTCCAGTAAATTTTTTCTGGGGGAGGACCCACCCACATTTATTTTGCTTCCAACGCCCATGATTTTAAGTAATCATTCAATAAAGAGATCGATGAACGAGCGAGTCAGTCAGCCAGTAAAACAGAAAATGACCCTTAATTTTTAAATTCTGCGAGCGCGCGGCTCTCTGTGGAAGACAGGTGAAAGCGCGTGCTGGAGAAGTGCGTGCAGATCAGAGGTGCGCAGTAAATGAAGATGAAACAAACCCACGAATTTATGATTTCTGTTATCAGTCTACGCTTAACCCTGGCTTAATATTATAATTTAAATCGCGTTTTGATTGATCTAATTTCTGTATTTTATTATGCTGCATTAAACAAATTTCAGGGCTCTGTATAGGTCATTCCACATTAACATCTGCAACGTTTTTATTGGAAAGATAGTTTTACAGGGTTATAAAAATAACCTGGGAATAACCATAAGGGAACGTTTAGGTTTGTAGGTTATTTAAAAATAACCACCCTACAACTTTCTGGGAACATTATTTTATGGTTGCAAAAAAACAACCTAAAAATAACCATTAGGGGAACATTCTGTATAAGTTATTTTTAGGTTATTTTAAAAACAACCACCCTGAAACGTTCTGGGAACGTTATTTTATGGTTGCAAAAAAATAACCTAAAAATAACCATTAGGGAACGTTCTCTATAAGTTCTTTTTAGGTTATTTTAAAAAATAACCACCCTGCAACGTTCTGGGAACGTTATTTTATGGTTGCAAAAAAAAAAAAAAAAAAAACCTAAAAATAACCATTAGGTAACGTTTTGGTAACGTTATTTTATGGTTATAAAAAAATATAACCTAAAAAGAACGTTCCCCTAACGTTAGTATTTGGTTCCCCAAAAAATACCCAATCGGGAACCAAAAACTAACGTTAGGGGAACATCCTGTGTTTGCTGGGCAGTGTCTTCCTACCTTAACCAAAACACTTGCATTTAAATCGGGATCCCCCACCTCTCTCTCTGTCGCTCTGTGTACCTGGCCTTTACCACTACACTCACTATCTTCGGAGCGCGTCCCCCTTCCTTCTTTCACATAATGGTATGATCCTAGTCTATCTTTCCATGTGATTAGCCGCATGTGTATTTTTTTTTTTGTAACGAAAAAAAAAGCATAAAAATTAGTCTTTTATGAAAACACTGAATAAAAAAATTGCTTACCAACACACAAACCATTCACAATTGCTAAATTGGGCTAAAATAGAAGGCTCCAGCTGAAGATTCGGCTCTCCCCGACGGGAATCGGCTCTTCTCGTTCGCTACAAAGAATCGGCTCGTAGAGCCGGCTCATTCGCGAACGACACATCACTAGATTCAACACAATTTTTTAAGTTCAGAGGACAAACACTCTAGTTCAGTCGACTTACAAACTAGTTGAGGAGTGAAAACTTAAAATGTTAAATTGAATGAACAAATTCAGAAGTTGCAAGTTGTCAACTTAAAAAAAATAATCGAAACAAATAAAATGACAGATCATTTTTTACAGTGTGTTTTCTCTGAGGTCCAAACTGCCTTTTATCTGCAGACCATAAAATGGAGTGATAGGCCGCACTTTGTATTCTTTCTGTCTTGTTTGCAACTCTATGCAAGTATTCAACAACAAACTCCTCACACTTATTTGTAACAGAAAACAAAAATACTTGCTTGTATGATACATATAACATTACATACTACATATATATACTCTACATTGTAACAAAAAACATACTCTTCAAAGTTGTAAATAAAACAAAGGTTATTTGAGCATGTTTTAAAAGAAAATGCTACCTTTCTACTTCAAAATTTCACGTTTAACTCAGTTACACGTGGTTTCTTTTTTTAACTATTTGCAGCAATTTCTGAGTGAAAAGTAAATCCTACACCATTTTTTGTAACTGTAAATAACTTAAAATGAACCTACACATTATTAAAAGTCCATGTTTATCAGACATTTATCAAATAGCTAAAATGAACTAAGCAGTGCATGTTATCCGTTATGTTATCAGTAAAGAATAACATTATCGGATTTTCTTATTAAGTGCTGTTTGTGGCCTGTTGGTTGTATTTTCAGGTAAAATAAGTCTTAACTTCCTCTTTGGTGAGCCCTCAGTTGAAGATACATATTCTTGGATGACAGGTGCAGCAGAGCTCATCAGGTCTGAACTGCTGGACTGATCCACCACATCTTGTGGAGCAGCGGATTCGCTCACAGGAAGTGCAATATTTGGATTGAATAGCTGCTGAGTGTCACTGGCATCCAGAACGTCAGGGTGTGATGGAGCTGTTAGACGGTTGTGATCATCTGGAAGAGCTAAGCTGAGCATTAGTGGGAGTGTTGATGGCATTTGAGTTTCAGATCTACTGTTGAAGGCAGTGTCTAACAGAGTTTCTCCTTGAACAGAAATATAATTTTGACCTTTTTCTTTAGTGACAGCATCTGTATCCTTAGACATGGACTTTGATTCCTTGTTTCCTTTTTTAGCACGTTTCGACTTAGAGGTGCCTTGCAAGGTATCGGTTTCCTCTTCCTCACTTCCTAAGCATTCAATGTTATCTTTTGATTTTTTGCTAGTTTTATTAATTTTTAATTTATATTTTTTGTCCTTTTTGCTTTTTAGTTTTTCCTTCTTTGCCTTTTTGTACATCTTGTCTTCTACAATATCTCTTTCGTCAATGGACTTTGGATGTACTCTGCTTTTTCGAAGGGGGTTTAAATTTAATTTAACTTTCAGTGTCTTATTTGCTTGTCCTCTGGTTTTCTGGGGTTTAGTCTTACCCAGCTTTTGGGGGCTTTTCTGTGCAGATGTTTTAGATTCTTTCATCCTGCTTTCCTTTTTGTGTCTGTCAGCCGTTGTGGTGAGGACATGTTCCTCCGTCTCGGCTAGATCAAAAGTAACGCTTCTTTGAGAAGCTAACTTAAAGCCCAGCTCACTAACTTGACTCTCACCATGTCTCCCAGCGTTTGACTTGTCATAACCCAAGATGTCTCTGTATAGCATGGCATTGTACATTTTTACTCCATTTTGAACTGTGTTCTGTGAGTGATTTGTAAATGGAAAGTTCTGGTTATTACTCCCAGCTTGTCTGTATGCATAAGTCTGATGACAGTGCAGACAGCTGATGGTTTGGTAAATCGGTTGAGCACCAACATCCTCAGCCTGGCGTTTTAACAGTGAATGATTTCCTTGAGTTATTGCATTGTGGATTTGGTCTGGGGGTCTGAACGTGCCACTCTGGAGGGCTGAGAAATGATTACTGAGGGCCTGCTGCCGTATTCTGACAGAAGTACCTTGACTGCCCAGATAGATGTTTGGAATGCCTGCCCCGCTCACATTATGTCTTTGTCCACTTGTGTCTGTGAGTAAAACAGAGAGGTAATAAAGATTTAAAACAGGCATTTGAGAATGTGCTAGTGGTATAAAACAACTAAATAAACTAGATGTCACCACTGGAATGGAAGGAATAGAAGGTGTTGCTATGCAGTTAATAGGTGGTTGTTTACAAAATATTAGTTTTAAATACTGTTATACAGTAAATAAGAACTTATATATGCAATATAGATTTTTATAAGTTACAATTGACTATAACTATACTGTAACAAAAACAAAAATAAATTAATACTAAACATAAATATTAAAACAAATTAAAAAGTGACAAACGCATACAACAACATGTATAAACATTTTATATCTATTTATAAATATAATAATTTATAAATGACTGTAAAATAATAATGCTAAATGCTGGTTGGAAATCATGAGATTAATCATTAATTTGTTCTATTTTATGTTTTCGTCCTAAAAATATTCTTAATGGGAGATTATAAAATATGTAATTGTATTTAAATCTATTTTTATTCATTTTATAATATTAAATGTTTTCCAGATAATATTTTACACATATATGTAATATTTTAAATTTGGACTATTAATGGGTCTTTAAATATGAAAATATATAGCTGCATTTACGTTCTAAAAAAATACAGCAAGGAGGTCATTATATTTGTGGGTCTGTGGTGGTTAAAAGGTTTGAAAACCTCTTCCTTAGCAGATACTTTTAAAACATTTCAAAGCAAAAGTTGTGCTTGCTAGATTACCTTTGATCTTTTATTGCAACACAGAATGTTGGTAATTTCCTTCATGTTGGCGATTAGCCAGCTGTTCACCTACATGATTGGCTTTCTGCAGGACACTCTCTCTTTTGTGCTTTTCTACAGCAAGTGCTGTAGAGCTACACTTGTGGCAGGTGAAATGATTGTCCAGCGTGTCTGATCCTAGATAAGGAGAGTCTTCTTGTCCCAAGGCTGATGGGATTTGTAGTTGCTGTTGTACAGTGCATGACTTGTAGACAGAGTGTCCTTGCCTTCACAGAAATTACACTGGGTTGACTCCAGGCTGGATGTTTTCCTTTCCCCAACTCTATTTTCCTCCTGCACCAGTTCAAATTTCTTACTGAGTTTGTGGTATGCAATGGCAATCATTCCCAGGGTGATCCCAACACCACCTACAATTAAAAGCAGAACTGATGAAGTGATTCCATTAAAGGGTTAGTTCACCCAAAAATGAAAATTCTGTCATTAATTACTTACCCTCATATCGTTCCAGACCTCCGTTCATCTTCGGAACACAAATTAAGTTTTTATGCATTCTGACAGCTCTCTGACCCTCCCATAGACAGCAAGGGTACTACCACGATCAACGTCCAGAAACGTAGCAAGGAGATCGGTAAAATAATCCATGTGACATCAGGGGATCATCCTTAATATTACGAACCTACGAGAATACTTTTTGTGTGCAAAAGAAAAAAAATAACGACTTTATTCAACAATTCGTCTCCTCCGCGTCACCTTACGTAGCGACATTTTGGAGAGTATCCACTGAACGCAAATGGCGTATGTTGTTCTGTGTCAACCGCACCACATGGATACATGTGTTTTCATTCAAATCAAAGCACAAACAACGTAGAAAATGTATCCACGTGACACAGCTGACACATGTAACAGGTATGGAAAGTAATGTTAATTTCATATGTAGAATTACACAAAAATTTTCACGATGTATACCTGATATGCATGTCTGTGTGTGCACCTTCCCCTTTAAATTTCTGACAGCAGCGTTAGTCTTAATTTCCTGTCTTTGCACCTCCTCTTCCCTTTCTGCACTGTCTCTGCATGGGAGAGGTGGGTTTCTAATGAGCTCTGATTAATCTAATGTTATCTTTGCTTTAAAAAGCACTTTTATACTGTTTAAATCATATTTGTGACATTATTTTATATGTATATTTGATTATTTCTGTATTTTCACTAAGTTAGATCAGTTTTCTGTCGATCGATGCACTTGAAGCACATGCTAATTGCGTTGCACTTTACATTTATTTCACAGAAAAGACAAGAAGGGCGAAAACACACTGTAAAGACTGTTTTATGTTTTATCAGACAAGAAGGGCGAAAACACACTGTAAAGACTGTTTTATGTTTTATCAGTAAATGAAGAGTCGAACCGTCAACTGATGTCTGTCTGGTTACTACTCTGAGAAAAAACATAACGCAGATTACACTGGTCACACGTGTTGCCCATGACCAGGGGCGGACTTACCCATTAGGCAAAGGTAGGTGACCGCCTTGGGCCCCCAAAAGCCAAGGGCCCCCTAAAATGCTTTTTATATCGGATATGTGCATTAAGCACTGACACATGAACGGTTGCTGTTTACGGTGTTTATTACCACGACAACCGTCCGAGTCCGTGGCGCCTGCAGGTGTACGGCACTGTGAGTAGGCTACCATGAGCATTCAGACTGACCTCAGATTTGCCCCGCAAACATTTCAGCAGTTATCATAGGCCTGTGTGTCCTGTTCTGTCGACTGAACCAGCTATGCCATTAATTATGAATTTATCCGTTTTTTTGCATGCCAAAGTCAATTTCTGCATAGAAATATTATGCCAAATAGAAGCAGAAAATCGTACTATACTATGCACTTTCATGAGATCGGGTTTGCCTACAACAATTAATTTGTTGGCTATTTTACAAATGGGAATACAACGAATTAATGACAATGTTTACATTCAAGCTACCCGTAAAATGTATAGTGAAAATTACTATAAAAGTGTCTGGAATGCAATAAAGTAATTTTAAAGCTGTTTTTAAAGCATTTGCTGCATGGGTAAAAAAAAAAATAGGCTAATAAATAATTCACATATCATACAAAATTGCGTTGCAGCAAATCCTTTAAATTTTCAGGTATTCAGAACAGAGCAACATAAAAATCAGAAAAAGCAGCTATTCAATTATATGACAAAGTTTTACATATAGGCTATGCCATTATAATTTGTGTTTTATTTTTTAGTTGTACGGAATTATAAAATAAAACGCAAATTATAATCGGGCCTGTTTTATTTTTATATTTTAGATATCCATCAATTATGGCGATGAAAAAAATGACTCGCCATCTCCTCATTGGACGTGCCTTTAGAGAGAAATGCACGGATTGCATAATGAAAGAGTTTCTATTTTCGATTTGAATTATTTCGTTTTAATGTAGTAATTTAAAGCTTTCTATATATTTTTTGATCATGTCTGTGAGGCAATTCGCGGAGTTTAGGTTCATCATTGTGACGCGCTCCTGTTCAAGCCCGAGACGGCAGCGTTTGTTTTCTTTATTTTATAAAAGCACAACGTTTTGTTGATATTGTGAGTGCACACAAATAAAACTAGCCCCTTTACAGTTTAGAATGATGTATTACTCTTACCTTTATGAGCAAAAATGACT